TGCTCCCACCAGTCAGCTATGAGTGAAAGACCTCCATATAAAATGGATGTGCACATGCAGTACAGAGCCATCTTTGCACTCTGACAAACTGAGTTTTAGTTATTTCTCTTTCATACTTGCTGGATTCCTTTCTTAAGGAGACTATTATTTGGAGGGGTTGACTCACTTCAGGAGAGTCCTTTTACTGTCATTAAAAAAAAAAGAGTTTCAGGCTGTAAGCTCTTCTTGAACAAAGTTTTATTTTTTTAACCTTCAGGAACACTGTCACTGAAGTTGAGGATCCTTTCTATGGTGCCATATCCTTTTGCAAGTATTATTAGGGAACAGATCCTGTCCCTGTTTTGCACTCCTAGCAGCCAAATCAGTGAAATTGCACTCTGTAAAGGAAAAGAAGGCAGATTTGGGTGCTTAGAAGACAAGCAGCCCTTTATTGAACAGGTCAGTGCTACACCAGGGCAGTAGGATGCAGCCAGGGCATCAGCTGGCCAGGAGCATGGAAAAGAGTCATCTGGGCTTCCGCTATGGTGTGAAAGCTCTGGTTCTTGTTACTCACAGCACATAAAGAAGTGAGTAGCTATCCGAACTACATTGCTGCCTTACTACCTTGAACGCTCACTGAGTCAGTAAAAAAGAGCTCTTTCATGCACCATCATTTATAATCCCAGGCACACATCTGTTCAGCATTTGGCCCTCCTTCCCAGGCTGTTCTTTTTTCAGGAGGCAGCACTGCGGATCCTACACATTGTGGACATTTTCCTACAATTTGTTGTTACTTTTCTTTCTTGATCAGTTCTTTGGGTTTTTTTCCCCCTTTTCTTTAATCCTGCTTTTCCCAAGACAGTGCCCTTCAGGAGTAACAATTTATTATATTTGACTAGAAATGATGGAAGGACTTCTACAGTCAAAACTAAATTTAGAGTTTTGCCCTGGCATTTGAAATACTCAAGATCTTTTCCTAGCTTATCTATGCTTTACTGAGCAAGTAAGAATGACTACAAAGGCATAAGGCTTACTTCCAACAAATACAACACAGAACTTTGATGTCATAAAACCAGGCAAGGTCAGTCCTAGATCATTTGATTAAGTGAACTGTCAGCATGGCTAGTTTCTAAGTGCAAGACAGTAAGGAGAAATCCAAGACTGCCTGTCAGGTCTTGGTTCCCCTATGTCTTTTCACTGACTAGAAGAATCTCTGAATCACTTGCTGCTTTTCTTGATCTTGGCTATTACACTAGTTATGATGTCTAAATACAGGTACATATGGGAGGTGGTCCAAATGTGGCTTTCTGCTCATACAAGGAGAAGATTACTATTCTGCATTTTACTGAGGACATTAGGAACTTTTTCTTTTGAGTTTGTTTTTGAGTTTTGGTTTTGCTTTTTTTTTTTTTTTAACACACATATACAAATTCAAAACTCAATCAGAGTTATGAATATAAATGTATCCTTGACTGATGATATGCATCCAAACAGAAGCAGAATAATGTTTGGCTTGGGAATAACCACTGTAATACATTACAGATAAATGTTTAAAAGACTATATGAACTTTTAAGTGTATCTGAATAATTATCTGGGACATATATGTAGCAGTAACCTTCCCTTAAGTTAATGATGTTTCCTGTTAATGTACTGGAATATATGTAACAGCTCTATTTCACAATGCTGTTAAGAAAATAACCTAGAACTTGTAAATTAAATATATCTCTAATTAGGACTTTGGAGGATATTTTAAATTCTTTGAACTCATAAATTCTATAATAAGAGATATTTCAGCAGTTTCTTTTGTGGTAGGAAACACTTAACATGAAAACGTAAACGTTACTCTTCAGTTAGCTGCATATAGCCAAATGAATAAAAGCTATGACATTAATAACAACTATACCAAGTTATGATTGATAGGCTTTCCTCCGGCGAGAAAAGATTGTCTTGGATACAATCTGTCCTAACAGCCTTGTGATATGTTGGTATTTTATTCAGACTAGAGCGAGGATATATTCAGATGTCCTACTTAGTGGAAGGGAAGCAAATGTGTTACAAATACTACTGCAGCCCTGAGGTGCAATAACAGCTGTGAAATCAGAAAGATTTTATTTCCCCTTCCCAAATTACAGGCCAAGATCATGCCAAGCACAGCAGGAGGTTGAATTTTCCTTGGAATTTACATCAGGTTATGTTTAATGTATTTCTTCTTCTATGAACAGTCTTAGGATAGAGTCAACAGACAGTCACACAATGCTATAGAAGGCATGGAATACTCTTCTGTGTCCTTGTAAATAATAACTATTATTAGGCCTGATACATGACATTAGGTTAACTCGCAAATGCCCAGATATAATAAAATATCAAGATGTTGATAAACAGATTTTCATGGCTCAGTTTGCGCAAAAACAAAACAATAAAAATCTAGTTTTCTCGTACTCAAACCATCACTTCCTCCTCGGTTTAAAAAAGCAAGTTTTTGCTGTTCAGATTTGTGTTGAGATTTAAGTAGACTGAGCTCTTAGGAGGCTGGATACTTCCAAGTAAAAAGACTACAAAATGCCTAAAATGCTGTTGTTCTGATGTGACAGAATGTTTTACACCAGTCTTGCGAAGGGCTAAACAATTACAGAAATTGTACTGCCATGGAGAATCCAGTTTCTTAAATAAGTCAAGCGCTGTTACTCAAGTCACAAGCATCTAGCAACTAACAAATAAAATCACAGTGGGACTATGCCAGTTCTACACCAGAGATTTGTTGCATGAAGAGCACTTATGTTTTTGATGCTAAAAAAGGATTCACAGTATAGATTACTTTATTACTTTTTTACGCTTTTAAAGTACTTCTTAGTATTTTAGCATAATTAAAGACTCCCAAACAACAACAACAACAAACCCTAAGCCTGCAAGTATGACCAGATCTTCATGACACAACAACAGGGAAACGTCCTTGTAAACATGTTACTAAATTGATATCAGTACATCAAGAGCAACATCTACTTACCTGAAATGAACCACTACCCCAGCACGTGGTTTCTGTAATTATGCTGGCCAACACGTTTTCTCCTTGAGCAGGAATTCCAGATGACTTAACATCATTGTTTGGTGACTGTGGCTGTTCAGCCTGAGAATAAACATAATAAAAAAGATCAGATGAACATAAAACATAAGTGCATCAATGAGCATAAACCACAAGTGCATCACAGTACTGTTGAAGACTGCTCTAGGGACACCAATGGGAGAGTTTTGTTTTAGCATGTGAGCAACCACAAATGCAAGAAAGTGGCTGGATCCTGCCTTCGTTGTGACTGTTCTCTACAGCTCTGCACTGCTCCTGGAGAAACTCATCACAAATCTGGATCCCTGAGCAGATCAGAAACGTGGCAGAGGCTCCTCTACTACAAGCTTAATGACTGTTAGTGTGAAATATCTTTCTTGAAGGATTTTTTTCTTTTTTTTTTTGGCTGCCATAAGGGACACAAAGGGACATTAGTAGATTGATTTGGCCCTTGGATGGCAGAGTACTTGGGAGTCCCAAGGTCAAGAAAGTTATAGATCCAGTCCTCCCCTCTCCTCTGCTCCCATCAAGTGTTCTTCAGAGAACAACAAGCATGTCTCCTCCTCTTCTCCCCCAGCACAAATCTGAGATACATTTGTCCCCAGTAACTTCTAAAATTCTTTTAAAAATTAAAAATACATCACCTTGCTTTTGGTTTCGTTTCCTTATCCTATTGACTTGCATCAAGCACCAGAGCAGGTCATTTTCAGAGTCAACTACCAGCCAAGTTTACTTTCACTAGTGGGTTCTGCAGGTGCCAAATTCCACTCTCTGCACATCCTTCTCTGGTTTCAGCCTTAACTGCTTCTGAAAAGCCTTGTGCGATTTTATGAGTATCTATATTTGTGGGACGAAGTCCTAGAAGCCAAGCTCTGCCGTCATTTCAGCCTCTGAACGTAGTGGAATCGCCTGAGTTTTAAATGAGGAGAGAAAGAAGCTCTGCTAATGCCTTCCATGAAAACTCCTGGAAAACAGCACCCGTAGTGCCCTCCCGTGGTGACACGACGTCGAGCCGTGCCCGACAGCTCGAACAAACCTACCACTCCTTTTCCTTCCCTACGTCGCAGACAGTTTCAGAGAAGTTCTCTAACAAACTAGCTGGCCAAAGGACAAGATCTTCTAAGCCCGATCCTTATTTTCCACTTTTTAGGGAGTTTGAAAGAAAATAAAGAGTAGCATCTTATATATTCTCCTTGAACATTGGAGGAAAATCCAACCCCGAGTGTACAAAAAGCTTTGCTGTTTTATTATATTGCATGCAATAAAGAAAAGATTAACCTTTTATTCCAGGAAAGATCTCTCATTTGTTATTTAATTAGTTTTCACTAATTAATTAGAATTTTTTAAGCTCCCCTGTCTCTCTGGGAGAAAGTGGCTTAGGTTCCTCCCTTTTTCTCCTTTTCTTTTGCTGCTACTCTTCTTCCTCCCGCCTCCTTTCAAAGCCCTAATCCCATTTTTGTATCCTCAGTATTACACTCCCTCATTCTCTCTTTGTCTGAGACTTTTCTTAGCTTTGCCATTGCTGGGAACAAAGTTGAACTGGAATTTACAGAATATTTTTTTGAGACAACTCTTTATTGAAGGCCAGATCATACAAATCCACAGGACAAACTGATGGAAAACTAATTTCCCTGCAGATCCCCTTGCAGAATGTTACTCTTTATATTTCACTGGAGGCAGAGGGAGGTGGTGAAAAATATTTAGTGCTCCACCAAGAAAGCTACTGTGAGAGCACAGATTTGTTTGGATCTTTGTTTTTATGTAGCGTGTGGCTCTACTTTCCATTTTACTTCATTGAAGGTAAGAATCCAAGATCAATCCCAGTTCACACACAGCTGGTGTCCACTCAACTTTATTACTGAAAAATTACTTGCGCTGGAAACGAAGACAAATGCGAGTTATTTACTGCTAAAGGACTGAACCCTGAAACTATTATAACTTTCCTATTACTGGGTCGCTTGTCTTCTGTGTTTCACTTAAAGACATGTCAAGCTGAGAGGCATGTTTTCAAATCCCTATTAAACTGAGTCAGCTATAATTTCTTTCATACACAACAACTTTCATTGTTAATTTATTGAACAGACAGATTAGCCTTAAAGGTTTGTATTTTCCACTAGCAGATCAGTGGCTTAGCAGACCATTCCCTTTCCTTCGGCAATCAGGTAACATTCCTATAGAAACTACACCAATTACACATACAGAAAAAGCGTTTTTAGAAAAAAATATATTGTATCTCTGTCTCACCAGAAGCTCACATTAGCACCTAGATTCTGCCTTGAGAGCTAAACAACTCACAAGTGATTCATGACTACAATTTAGGAGCAATTTGACCACACAATATAGAACACTTACCTTTCGAGTACGCTGGTACTTCTAGCAACTTTATCGAACTTTAACAGGAAGTCAAGATATGGCACAGTAATCTTGACAATATTTGGGATCTGTATTTCAATATACATGGATATGTACATGGGTAAGTCCAATGGCGATATCAGATACTTCTAAATACTTCATTTGAATTACTGATTTCTTCTTTTCTTAAACAGCAAAACCAAATTTATGTTATAATTTTGGTTTTCTTCTGTGTACTACGCATTACTACTTCTCAGCAACTCGTCTAGAATTAAGCAGGGCATTACTTTAATATCTGGTAAATCCCTCCCAAAAAAGTTACAAGCCTTTTCATCATGTAAGATGAAGATTTCTCAACTCTGTAGCTCTATGATCTTTCACATGTATATATGAAAGTATATATTTATTTTTATATAATATTTATATACTTTTATATATTAATATATAAAATTATTTATTCTCATCAGCCTCACTGATGCACCCTTCTCTTGTTCCAAAACATATACACATTTAATGTTTCATGTGTATATGTTTCCCCCTAATGACAATTTAGCATTCAGCAAAGAATTTAACATTAATCTTAGCTGAAATGGGCTTAACTTCACATACTGATTAGTTTAAAATGCAAATGTAATAGCTCAGCTCACTCAAACTAAACAAACAAACAAGAGTCAAGTAGATGAGAAAAAAAAAATATATACACAAATCTTAGTCACCTACACTTTCAGGGCACAAATTTAAGTGTACAATAATACTGGTGCAGGTTGCGCATCATAATCCTCACCTATTTTTGATAAACTTCAGTCACAATATCATATAAACAACCAACATTCCTTCAAATCCAATCTGACGATGGTTTATAAGGTAGCAAACACCAAAAGTGAGCTGAGAAACTCCCCGTCCAGACAAAAAGCAGCTCTGTCTCAGAGCTCACAACCTAATCTATCCGTCCTCGTAACACCACATGTACATGAATTTAAGCTATGAGCTCTTTTTTTTTAAATCACAGAATCTGCTAGTAAATTGCAACTCTTAAATAGTGAAATGTGCCACACAGACAGAATCCTCATATAAACATACCAATTGTCGAATTTAGCTCACATTACTTCTGCAAATTTTGTATGACTTTCACTTGAACTACTCAGAGAAGGTTTTGACCATATGTAGCATCTTTTTGATAATATTGGTCTGGAATCTCATCTCCTTGAAATTTTGCTCTTGGCATAAATAGGAACAGCCTCTAAATGATCAACAGCAATGACGTAGCGTATCTCTGCCAGCACAGCATCAAATTCGGCTTCTGCTAGATAGAAGAGGAAGGTTTCAATCACTCTCCTGAATTCACTCTTTGTGACTGTCAGGGTCTGACCAACATCAAGCATCTGAAATGCTTTTTTCAGTTCGTCTCCTTTTTCAGCTGTTTTTTGAAGTAAGATCTGCCCAATGCCCCAGGAGAATAATGTGGCATCTGGGACAGAGCTCACAGACGTAGTTGTAAAACATATTAGGCAGTCATCAGATACTCCTATGCCTGGCAAAGTCACATTTTTCTGAGAATTCAATACAAATCAGTTCATTTCTAGAAATGTATAAGTAAGTTGGTTATTGTTTGTCCACTGTTTTGAAAACAATAAAGAACCAAACACAATTGTAAGCATTTAAAGAAAAGATTCTGGGGTTTCTCTTTCTGCTACCACAGCCAAAACAGTAAGTTGGAATATACACTTGAGTTTTAAAAGTTAAAAACTATTAAAGAAAGTTCCAGCTCACAGATGTATTCCATGACAGCAGCCCTCCCACTTCAAACTACAGAGAGGATTTCTTTGCCCTGTAGAATTTAGAGACTTTACTCAGTTATTGAGCTTTGGGTAGAGATATCATGTAGTAGTGGGGTCAACATTCATTGTCTGTATATGGAGTCTATGGCTGGTAAGTATTTTAGGACATGCTAGCCCCTTTCCCACTAAAAACACACCCAGCAATGGAGACTGGAAGCACCTAACAGTGCAATACAGGGTACAGGTATGTCTTGGATTACTTAAGACACCTCTGTCTCGCATTAGACCTAAATAAGAACTAAGATTTGGCCTGATGTTTTGTTTGGATTCATAATGAACCAAATTCAGCCATAGCTTAAGCATTTAGTTACCTACCACTTGAATCAAAGGAGGTTTTGTACACAAATCTGAACACCAGCTAGTTCATAGGCATTTACGTTTTTTCCAAACTTTAATCTAGGATCTGCTCTTAAACAAAATGTGACTGCCTTCAGAAGAAGCTTGTTTACAAAAAGCAAGATGGCAAAATACAGCTTTTTTTTTTTGTTATTTACAGCTTTGCTGCTGTTTTATGAGAGCTGAATTTTTTCTTATGCTCATCTCTTCCTTACAAAGAAAGTATACAATCATGGACGCCTTGCACATTTCATTTCAACTTCAAGCCATTCCGACAAAAGAAAGCATGCGAATTCACAGCTGGATACAGCTTCGGTGAAATCAATGGAGCTGTCACAGCTTACACCTACAATGAATCTGACCCTAAATCTAAAACTACATGGCAAGGAGAGGAGGAAAAATGACATGAACCATGATGGAGGAAGCCTCGCATGACAACAATTAAAAATTGCTTGCGAGAGGAATGTCCACATTGGGATTAACAGAAAATTCATACTTGATTGCAACAAACTATAAATCTACTGCTCCAGAAAATGAGCTTTCTGTGCTAAGTGTATAGTAATTTCAAATGAGTTCCCAAAGGATAAGATGTATATCAAATCTGATAATGTGTTGTAATTGGAAACAGTGATCTTGTAGTTACTTCAGAACGCGAGACAGTGATCCAAAGAAGGCATCTCTCTCAAGTTCCAATGGACTCCAGAGAAGGGAGGAAAATAAAGGCCCCTTTTCCTCACATACAAGCAGGAGGAAGAGTTGGGCGAGAAGGGCCATGGCTCCCTCTTCCACCCTTACTCCATCAGTAGAACTAGATTGATCTTGTTCATGTCCATCGGATCCAGCAACACGGTTTATCTGTGACAAACAGCTTCTCTCAAAGTAGTGAGGGAAATGCACCCCAAACCCTAAGGGCTCCTTGTCTGCTGCAACCTGCTATATTGAAAGGCACCACCAAACCCCAGGCAAATGACAGGACATAAAGGACTGAGAGGATGATGCCACCTGTAAGTTACACAGTGCTTGTCCTCTAAGCATAGAAGGATTTTGATTTAAAGTCCCAAGATGATGAACACTTAGACTTCAGTACAAACCTGCAGCTGATTTAATTGAGGACTATCTGCTGCCACAAAATAATGCTCTATTTTCATAGAATCATCTGGTTGGAAGAGACCCTCAAGATTGAGTCCAACCATTCACCCTGCATTGTCAGGGTCCCTAAACCATGTTCCTCAACACCAAATCCACACGGTTTTTAAACATCTCCAGGGATGAGGACTCCATCACCTCACTGGGCAGCCTGTTCCAATACTTCACAACCCTCTCTGTAAAGAAATTTTTTCTGATATCTAACCTAAATTTCCCCTGGTGTAACTTGAGGCCATTCCCTCTCATCCTGTCATTCACAACATGGGAGAAGAGACCGACCCCCATCTCCCTACAACTTCCTTTCAGGTAATTGTAGAGAGCGATAAGGTCCCCCCTGAGCCTCCCCTTCTCCAGACTAAACAGTCCCAGCTCCCTCAGCCGCTCCTTATAGGACAAGTTCTCTAAACCCTTCAACTAGTTTCGTTGCTCTTCTCTGAACCCGCTCCAGCACCAAAACGTCCTTCTTGAAGTGAGGGGCCCAAAACTGGACACAGTACTCCAGGTGTGGCCTCGCCAGTGCTGAGTATAGGGGACAATGTGTATATATATTGTGTAGAATGAGGTCCTGGGT